CCCCAAAACCCCAAAACCCCAAAACCCCAAAACCCCATTGTCCTCTAGGCTAATTGAATTAGCAAAATAGAGAATATTTTAGTTGCCATTTTCTGATTCGTCAGTAATTTTCATACCAACAGAAAGCTTTTGAGACAAGAGATAGAGAGCTTTGATAAAAATCTAAAATTCTTATTTTACTTAAAGGCAGATAAGTTCCCACATCTGATAACTCTGCGATCCAGATTTTTTTAGGCAAATAGGATTAATAGACACATGAAGAAGACTTGGTGACTTCTTGGTTCTTTTCTCTCTCAAGAGAATTTAGGCTGACTCTTTAAGTCTAACTATTTTAAAGTCTTGTAAAGCACTGAGAGTTAAAATAAGATGAATTGTGTACGTAATTGTTGTAAAAAGTAAGATTATTGATGGTCTCTGGTGATCTCCAAATGGTACAACCTGAGCCTGTCTAACATTTCGTTAAGTTTAGGAACCTTAATACCACAGCTAGGATATTAGAACATTAACTTACTTGGAAATATCAATTGTTCTCAAAGATTCTGATATTTTGGAGTCAAATAGCCCATTGAGAAGAGTTTCGAGAGTCTCTATGCTATTCTTCCAATTATTTCTATCTTTAATTCCACACTTGTTTAGGCCCAAGCATTCTAAGTTAGAGCTTTCACATGTAAAATCTACTGTATCTGATATCTTAAAGCTAGTTTTAGCTAAATTAAGTCTCTTTGCTGTGATATTGGTAAAGATTATCTAAAGAATAATTGCAAAATTCTTCTACCTCTAAATCGTTTTGAGTAAAATGAAAGTTTTCTAAGGTTACTTCATCTGATGCTCTATTAATAACTGCGAAAAGTCCATCTAGTAAATTTGAATCTCTTATTCTTGAATATTCTTGCATTCATACATTTAGGATATTCACATGGTCTGGGAATGAATTCTCAATGAGTTCTCTATGAACTCTATTATCAATACATAGGGCAATTCTCTTTCAGTTCTTTAATTTTTTGCCTTCAATCAGAATTTCGTCAATTTCATAGTCTTCTTTTTGAGTAAAGTCAAGTTCTATCGAAGATTGAGATGCTTCTTGATCTGCAATTTTGTTGGGAATATCATTTGGATAATTCTGAGATTCAACGTTTAATTGAAGATTATCACTTTGAGAGAGTTCAACTTTCTCCTCTTCATTTTGGACGACTCGGTTATGATTGATCCCTATTTTGATTTATAAAGAGTTTTTAACATTTTCCATAGCTTTTATCAAATTAATTACCCTTACATACTTAACTTTTAAAGGGGTTTGAAAAATATGGATATTTCTTGATCGATAATATACTTCCAAACAAATGAGAAAACTTATTTTAAACTTGGGTCTTAATTCCCGAAAGACTTGCTAATCTAATATCAATATTTTCTAAGTTAGTTCCTCAAAGTTCACTAGTCCGAAAAGAACTGAAAGCGTCTTGTTGCAGACATTTAACTTCTATCTTCAAGCGAATTAAAAATCCTGGTAAAAGGTTGAAATATTTTTTAGCATATCTAAAAATTACTCAATTGTTGTAGGTAAAGATGAACTCGAATAAAAGATTCGTTTTGAGAAAATAGGAATTTTGATGAAAATTTGTCCAAGCAGGGATGAAATAATTGGTAAATTGTATAGAAGTTGGTTAAAAAGATATTAGGAATCTTTCGAAATGTTGTCATCTCTTAATTTGTGAAGAAAAGGTTTTACCTCTTTTTAAATTAGCATTTTCTTTCTCAAGGTCTCTGATTCTCTGCATGAGCCCCTTTGTTTTTGCCTCTTGAACGATTCTATCCTCATGCTTCTTCAACAATTGGTGCTAAGGGTTAGTTAAGAGTAAGCTTACATTTTTAGCCTTATGACCAAGGCATGAAAGATTGTCCTGGATATCCTCCTGACTCTCCTCTATGTTTTTGCGGAACAAGAAATCTTTGAATTGTTGGTAAAATGCGCTAGTATCAAACTTCTTGTAGAGACTAAAACAAGGTCAGAAGGAAACAAAAGAGGTATTTTAAGAGCTTGAGCGCTATCAAGGAGGATACTGTGTTCAAAAGAATTAAAAGAAGCTATCAAGGTCTTTGGTTTACAAGATATTTTACACTAAAAGTATAGAAAAAGTTAAGTGAACAAGGAATTCACTCTTTAATTTGATATCTTTTTAGATCAAAATAGCATCTAAAACTTTAGAAAAAGAAGATTTTGAATATGAAAGCATTATAGACATATGGGAGCTATTTCTGAATGCTTTTTATAAAGCTCTTGAATTAGATTATAGTGTAAGTAATAAATGACTCGTTCATTCATCCAAATATGGCATAAAAAGAAGATGACTCGATCTCTGTCATCTCCCACTATAAACTCCATTCATGTTCCATTTAAAGATCCTAATTTAGCCTTGATCCTTTCCAAAATTTAGAAGGATGGTAGTTTGGCTATCTATGATCCTTTAGTCATTGAACATTAAATATGATATTTTCTTGCTTCTCCAAAAGCAAGTGGCTTTAGATTGAAGATATGTTCTGAAAAAAGAGGAGAAGGAAGAAGACTTTAACCTCAGTTAATTCAAAGATATTTGATCATTACTGAGCTCACTATCTAATCTGCATGCAATAATTGTATATCCCCTATGAATACCATTGCTCTCAGAGCCTCTAGACTCCAACAGCTATCGAAAGAAGATGCCAAGGCTTGTAAGATCAACCCTTATTCTCTATCCTTTATCTGCATCACTCTAAGTTTTTCTCTCATTTAAGAATAAAAAATTCGATTTTAATGTATTTCTCTTTGGAAAAGATCCTAATTACAGCTCATGAAAGTTATGTGAAAATATAGATACGAAGAGAAAACAAATGCAGGATTTGCAATGGAGTAATTTAAAATCCAAAATGAAGGAGTCTGTCCCGAGTCTTACTCTAAAATTTCCTCTCTGATTTCTTCAAACTTCTCAAAGGTATCATTTTCGATGGCATCATTAACTTTTGTTTCGAGATTTGCAAACTCAGGAATAAAGTAATCAATTTCACCCTTATAGTCCTTAACGTGCTTTTTGAAGCTCTTGTAGGTATGAGAGAATCTTGTTATCTGGCTCAAAGACCTATTAAGAGGATTCAAAGAAGCTTTCAAGTCTGAAGGACTAATTCTATATGATAACCATCGCAGAGCTTACATAATTGTCTCGTGTCACAGTTCAAGTGGAATAGGTCACAATGGAACAAGCAAATCATAGTCTGGTGGTCTTTACAATGCGCTCTTCTTTCTTCCTTACAGTTGTCATGGCGACAGTTGTATTTTCTAAAGAACATGAAGACAAAATAATATGAAAGCTTACGCTTTGGCAATAGCTTTGGGCATCATTTATTTAGTTCAATATCAATTGCTTTAAATGGGGTTTTGGGGTTTTGGGGTTTTGGGGTTTTGGGGTTTTGGGGTTTTGGGG